CACACACACACACACACACACACACACACACACACACACACCAGAATAGACACAAGCAAGCCTGCAAAGCACCAGACACAAAGCCCACCTTCCCGGCAACCCTGGATGCTGTCTCCACATAACGAGAGCCTCATTCACCAGAGTATCACCCTCAACAAACACCTTGTAAAGCCAACTTGAAAATATGACCAGCTCCCTCTCCCTCAGAACTCTGAACTGGCCAAGAAGGTGGTGACTCATGAATCAAATTAAAGGGGCCCACTGCCTTCGCCCTGGCCAGCTCAGCCTGCGAAGCCCTTGAGTTCCTGCCTTTGGGGTCCCAGCGGGATGCCCGGAGAAAGGACACCGGGGTGAGCCGGAATGTCCCACCCTCTACCGGAGGAGAGAAAGTTTGTCATTTACGCAGAGCTGGGCTGTCACCACTCTGGGTTCTTTGCTCACCTGGCTGGGCGCTGAACCCCCAGCCTGCAGAGAAGCGGCTGAAACTGGAAGCCCGAATGGGGGTCAGGAATCATTTTGCAGCAGCTCCGCGCCCCGTTCCCTTATGGAACCCTCTTACCCAGTGCAGGCCTCTCGGCCTTACCTGAGGGGTCTCAGCCACTTGCAAACTCTGCCAGCGGAGCCCAGCAGAAGCCCGGGGTCTCTTTCTGCGACTCCTGCGTCCCGCTTGGCGCGCCCGCTCTGTGGGCGCCTTCCCAGATGCCAGCTGCTGCAGTGGCATCAAGGAAAGCCGAGTGTGAATCGCCTTTCTCTCCACCAAGGCTCCCTCGGCCGGGCCCGGGGGCTATTCCTCCGGGTCTGGTGCAAGGGGCATCCTCCGCACCTCCGGCGGGGAAGTGGAGGTGTGCGTCCTGGATTGCAGCAGCGGCGACAGCGGTGGCCGGGAACGAGGAGGCGGTGGCGACGCCAGCCGGCGAGCCGGGGAGGCAGGCGGAGGCAAGACGAAGTGAAAGCTGGGCTCCTGAGAGCCTGGCGCTCGGGCGGGCTGGCGGGCGGGCGGCACTGCGGGGACCCCGCGCCACCGCGAGGCCCCGCGCACACACCCGCCCCGGAGATGCCCGGGCCCGGTGCGCACCGGGCGTGGGGCGCGGGCTGCGGCTGGGTGCGGGCTCGGCCGCCTCGCCTCTCGCTCGCTGTGTCCTCGCTGCCTAGCTCCTGGCTTCCCCGGACTTCACGTCTCCAGCCCCAGCTCCCCTCGCCGCCGCCGCCGCCGCCGCCAGCAGCGCCTCATCCCGGCGCGCTCCTCGCACGGAGCCACAGCACTGCCTACCGCTTAACTCCTTGCATGCCACCTGGCCCTCCCGCAGCCTCCTGGGGAGCTGGGCAGACGTGGTGCCAGGCCTGCTGCGGAGCGTGGGCACGGGCTTCAGCCTCCCACCCTCAGTTTCCTCGTCTGGAAAATGGGCTGAAGAGGCCCACGTCCTAGGATCATTTGGGGAATTAACTGAGACGTTTATGCCAAGTGCCGAGCTGTCTGACACTGAGTAAGCACTCAACAAATGGCAGAGTGCTCGTTGCTGCTGCTGCTGCTGCTGTTCAAGAGGCTAAACAAATAGTGGACACCAAATAAAGGGCAGTTTGGGTTTATTTGGGTTTTTTTTTGTATTTAGTTTGTTGTTTGAACGGGCAGTAGGTTTAAGCTGTGTGGCCTCTAATGATCACTTACCTTCTCTGAGCCAGTTTTGGAAGATCCCTTCCAAGCTCTGTGACCTGGGGCATGTCTTAGTAGTCCCTCCGAACCCCTGTATCTTCATCTGTAAAGTGAGAATGATAGATAATGATAGAGTCCATCCACCTTTGAAGGATCTACAGTGAATCTCTGGGAAAGGAACATATCTCCTGATGTGGCTTGTGACAAGGGCCGCCACTGACGGAGAGACTGCTAAGTGCCAGACACCTCGTTGTGTGTACTCTTAAATACATTATGTCGTCGAAACTAAGTCGTCTAAACAACTCAGGAGGCAGCTAGTTCCATCTCCATTCCACAGATGGGAGGACTGAGGTCCAGAGAGGCCCTGGGTTTGTAAAGCTAGAAAGTAGCAGAGCTGGGATCTGAACCCTGGACTTTCTGTCTCCAAAACCAGTATCTGTTAAGCTTGGGACTCAAGGAGGGGCTCTAACGTGGTCGTGAGCAGACACTACTCTTCGTTGGGACAAGCAATAAGAATCGGTACCCGTGTTTATTTTGTGAAAGCACATCGTTTTCCCGACAGATTCTTGTCTAATGTAGATAATTCAGAACATACTGAAAAGTAGGAAGAAAAACAAATCAACCCGATGCCCACCTCCCAGAGATAATGGTGATTAATACCTTGATGTAGTTCCTGGTAGTCTTTTTGTAATACTACATGGAAAAGCTGTTGGCACAAAGAGAACCCCTCAATCCCCCTTAAGAATGGGAGCTGGGCTCCGCACGAAGTGGAGAGAGCCCAAGGCTTGGAACCGGGCAGGTGAAGCCTGAGTGGTAGCCGAGTGTCCCGGGGTTGGTCACCTGCCCCTTCAAGCCTCTGCTGTATCATCTATGAGAGGATGAATAGTGTCTTCCCTGCCTGCTTCGTAGGGTTGCTGGGGGAAATGATAGATTGGAAAGCACCTTGAGAATGGCAAAAGCTGTAAAAATATAAGGGTGATGTTATCATCATCCCTGTTATCATAATAAAAACATAAAAGAACAGAGCAACATGGCATCTTGTTGTGGTTAAAAGTGGGAGCTCTGAAGACAAGTTTGCTGTTCCCTGTATGGATGTCCAATTGACCCATCACGATTTATTGAAAGAACTGTCTTTACCCCTCTACTTCATGAGGCCACCTTTGTCACAAAGCATACAAGTTCTGACAATTAAGTCTGCAAACTTGTTGCAGTGATGTTGCTAACCTTTTTTGATATCAGAAGGATTATTCATTAAGAATTTGTACCAACTTGACAAATAGTTCACCAAGTTGACTGTTTGGAAGTGCTGAAAAGGCTGTGTGAAAAAGTTAGATGACCTGTCTTTTTGCCAATTCATGGCTCTTGCATCACGACAGTGCATCAGCTCACACGCACTGTCTGAGAGGGAGTTTTGAGCCAGTAAACAAATAACTGTATTGGAACACCCTCCCTACTCACCTGATCTGGCCCCCAATGACTCCTTTCTTTACCTGAAGATAAAGGTAATATTGAAAGGAAGACATTTTGATGACATTCAGGACGTCAAGGGTAATATGATGACAGCTCTGATGGCCATTCCAGAAAAAGAGTTCCAAAATTGCTTTGAAGGGTGGACTAGGTGCTGGCGTCAGTGCATAGCTTCCCAAGGGGAGTATTTCGAAGGTGATTGTAGTGATATTCAGCAATGAGGTGTGTAGCACTTTTTCTAAGATGAGTTTGTGAACTTAATTGTCCGACCTCGTATGTCCCTGTGTGTGGAGGGGCTAGGTGAGGGCTCTCCATTCAGTTCCATTGATCAATTTGGTTATCTTTGTGCTATGTTTGGTCATCTTTATCACACAGTCTCCATTACTATAGCTTTATAATACTCTTGCTATCACTAAAACACATTCTTTTTTTACCCCCTGCAAGATTATTCTTGGCCTTTTGCATTTGAATGTAAATTTTAGAATCACTTTATCAAGTCCTTCACTCAACAACAACCAAAGACCTAGGAGGTGTGGACTGGGAGAGCATTGAGTCCACAGGTCAATTTGAGGACACTTGCCATCTTTATAATATTGAGTTTTCCCATCCGCCTACCTCACACCACACACACAAATTGATCCCGGTTGGGTTGTACATCTAAATGTATAAAACAAAACAACAAAGCTTCCAGAAGCTTATAGAGGAGACAATCTTTATAACCTTGGGGTAAAGAACGATTCCTTAAAGAAGACAAAAAGCACTTTCCAAAAAGGAAAACAAAGATATATTTCATTACACTAAAATCAGAACTTCTCTTTATTGAAAGACACCACTAAGAGGAGCGTGAAAAGGCAAACCATAGAAAATAGATGTTTTCAACATGCATAACTAAATAGGGACACCTATCCAGAATTTGCAAAGAACTTCTACAAATTGATAAGTAAAAGGCAGACAACTCAATCAAATGTCAAGAAACTGGGACAGACATTTCACAAAAGAGGATGTTAAAAGCCAAAAAATTCATTAAAAGGTGCTCAATCTAATTAGAAATCTGAGACATGCCTATTAAAACCGTGAGGCGATACAACTACACTAAAATTACAAAGACTGACAACCCTAAGTGCTGGTGACAATGTGGAGCAACTAGAAATCAGATACGCTGTTAGTGGGAGCGTAAACAGGTACAAATGCTTTGAAAAGGCTGTGTGGCATGATCACAAAAGCTGAAATAGACACCCTCTCTAGGGCCAGCATGTCCACTAGTAGGCATAGCTCCCACAGAAATGAATGGTTCTGTCCACCAAAAGACATGTACAAGAATGTTCACAGCAGCTATTTTTGTGGCTTATAATAGTAAATTTTGAAATCACCCCAAATGACCGTAATGTTTGCCAACAATAGAATGGGCTGTGTATATTCATACGGAGGGTACTATACAGCAATGAAAATGACTAACTTCTAGCCATACACAACCACAGGGATGAGTCCAAGAAGCGTGATGTTGGCTGATGAAAACTAGACACCAAAGAGCATTCATTGTATGTTTTCACTTATAAGACGTTTGCAGGCAGGAAAAACTCAACGATAGTGTTAGAAGCCAGAATGGTGCCGTCTCTGAGACGGATGAGAGCTATCATTGGGAGGGAGCACGTGGGTTTCTGGCATACTGGAGGCCTTTGCTTTCTTGACCTGGTTGGCAGCTACTCAGGTATTTGCGATAAGTCATAGAACCATGCAAGTACGTATCGAGCGCTTTTCTGTACATGTGTTAAACCTTAACTTTCGTAAAAGCTGTTTTTTTAAGTGACATTTCTTGTGCCGCAGCATAGAACTGGGTTCACACCTGAGATCTGCTCATTTCTGGCTGTATGGCCATGGTCAGGTTATCTCATCTCACTGAGTCTCAGCTTCCTCCTCGGTAAAATGGGAACAATAATGGTACCTAATTGATGGGGTTGTGTGAGGATGAAAGGGCTTTGAGTGAAATGACAAATGCGAAGGGTGGGGACTTCACTCAAGCAATATTGGCTGGTGATGATCACAGATCATCTTCTACAGTATTGTGTCTGTCCCATAAGAAAGGGATGCTTGGGAAATATTTGAGAAAACGGAGCTTGAACCTCAGCGAGGGCTGCCGGTAAAATATAGGATGCTCAGTTACATTTTTAGTATAAGCCTATAATGTTACATGGGAAATGTGTATACTAATTTTTTTTTCTCATTGTTTATCTGGAATTCAAATTTAACTGGGTCCTGAAATTTTATTTGCTAAGTCTTACCATCCTGACCTCATTGTTAGCTGCTGTGTGTCTTGGGGTAAGTCGCTTGACCTCTATGGCCTTTGTTGCCTAATCTGTAAAATGGGAACAACGGTCCCTTCCAGTGTTGACAAGAAAGTGAAATTGATTAAAGTAGAAAGGTGTTGGGCCGGCCGAGTGGCTCAGTTGGTTAAGAGCGCGAGCTCTGAGCAACACGGTTGCCAGTTCGATTCCCACATGGGCCAGTGAGCTGCGCCTGAGCTGAGCTGCGCTGAGCTGCCAACAGGTGGCAGGATGGCTCAGCTGGTGAGAGGATGCGCTAACAACAAGGTTGCGGTTCAACTCCCGCATGAGATGGTGGCTATGCCCATCCGCAACTAAGATTGAACACGGCACCTTGAGCTGAGCTGCCAATGGGCGGCCGGATGATGACTGGACTTGGAGCTGGGCTAGCTGCGCCCTCCACAACTAAGATTGAAGGACAACAATTTGGCTGTTCCCCTTCCCCAATTCCCCAACACAGTTTCCCTTCCCCAATTCCCCAATAAAATCTTAAAAAAAAAAAAAAGTCGAAAGGTGTCCCTAGCACATATCAAACACTCTGTATTTGTTCCTTTCACTTCTCTCCTCTTTTGTTCATCTCCCTCACTCCTCTTCTGTTTTTTTTTTTCTTTCCTTGCCTAAATCTTGCCAGAGCTCCCCACAGACATTGTTTGGTCCCAGTGCTGGCCTTTGAGACTAAGAGACTGTGATTAGCTATAAAAAGTAGTGAAGTTGTAGGATTTTTTTTTGTCTAAAATACACACACAGTGAATTTTGGCAGGAAGGGATGAAGTCAGCTTCCTCTCTCGACCCAACCATTAGACAAACTCAATTTTTTACCGAGGACTTACCCCGCTCTCTGCTAATCGCAGGCATCATATCTGTGTTTCAGATTTCTGAGAGGTGTCTCATCCCCTCTCTGTGCCTTCTATTTCAGCTCAGAATTTTATTGTTTTTGGCCA